TTGCTTGAACTTGGGAGGCGGAGGTTGCAGTGAGTGGAGATTGCACCACTGCACTCTAGCCTAGGTGACAGAGCAAGACTCTGTCTCAAAAAAAAAAAAAAAGAGCTTATGCTTACAAATAATTTTACACCATAGCCCCTCTGCACTGAAGTCTATCCTGGGTGTCCATGCTTGAGGCTGTTCTATAGGTAACCCTGCTTAAGATAAGGTCATTTTGGTGAGTATTTCAGTTACTGAACTTCCTGGGTGGGGGGATCGGGCCATCACCCTGAACCTGAATGGTGCTCCCTGGCTAACAGTGCCACAGGGCAGTTCCAGGATGGAGGCTACTACTGTTCTCTTCCAATTAGTTCGTTGACCCTTCTGGGTTTATCATCATGTGCTACCAATTGCCATGAGTGAACAGTGCCTGAAAAAATCAATAAGCATGGTGACATCCATCTGTTCCTGATCACAACCACATCTGGACCAGCCAGAAAATTCTCAGAATTAAAAAAACTCAGAGAATGTTAGTGGTATAAGGAAACTTAGAGATAATCTTAATCTCATATTTTCATTTTACAAAGGAGAAAACTAAGGCTCAGAGTGGTATGATTTTCCTAGGCTCACCCAGAAAAATGATTAAGGAGCTAAAGCTATTGATTTCCAGTCCTGTTCCTTGTACACATACACCCACATCTTTGGGACTTTGGGTATTAATTCCTTTCTCCTGAATACACTAGACATACATGACACTGCAGAGTTCCTAGGACTTCCAATTACGTTGACTAAATTGAAATGTTATGACGCCTGCCTGATTTTTCAGGCAATTTCTCATATAATAAAAACCAATGCCAATTATTCAGCATTTAGCTCACTTAACTGAAGCATCACAAGAGCAGCTGTGATCTTGAAGCTTTAAGTACATGAGCTGAAAAGGAAGTAGAGACATTTTTCTATTTCAAAAATGTGTAATAGGACAAATCATGGAATTAGGGTTCCAGTCTTGGCCCTTTTACCAAGCTAGCTGTATAACCTTCGCCAAACCTCTCTCTGAACTTTGGTTTCTTCATGCTAAAAGAAGGGGTAAGTTTAGATCAAAGATTAACTTGGGTTCCAAGGAAAGGCATCAGGAGGTCTCAATGAGGTCTTAAATATTATTGGCAAACTTTAAGTATACATGTCTTTTTCTAAGAAGTGGTTTTGTGATTTTCATCAGATTCTAAAAAGGGTCTGGGACTCAAAAATTTAAGAACCATTGATTTAAGTAGTCTCTTAGTTTTCCTCCAGTTCCGGCAATCTTTGACTCTACCTTTAAAAAATATCCATCATCATTAGATACATTCATGAAATAATACTCATGTGTACCCTGCCCAGATGAGAAAAAGACAAAAATAGGATGTGACTAGATTTAAGCCTACGGGGAATATATCATTATTATGACCATCACCATTAACGTGGGAAGATGAGGGTAGGACATGGAATCCTACTGAGACCTGTCATTATCCTGCAGACCAATGGACTATGCATTCATGCCTTCTTCAAACTCACTTTCTGTGAAACCAAGCTCCTTCCCCATTCTGGCAGAAGTTTCAACAGAGAAGTCTTATTTTTAATCTGGCACTAGCACACACAAGATAACAAAATAAATTTGTATGACAAATATATTATCTGGTCCCTGTCCCTGTAATGTTCTTTGTAGAATTTTTTAAAAATAGGACTGGTCCTATTTGCATTAATAGACAAGGAAGCTCAAAGCAAGCTGAATTAGAACTGGGCTCCTCGCTATTGGGTTATCCCCCAGTCAAAGGTTAGTATCTTCCAAATTTTTCACCTCTCTTGACCTTAAACATTTCAAATATTTTAAAAATCCAATTATCTCTTAACAAATAGTTCCCAAGTGTTTATGCAAGGTACTGAACGTGGTTCACAGGTGAATGAGACACTGTCCCTGTCTTCACGAAACTTCCATTCTAATGGGGTGTTAGATAAGCATTTGGAACAACATAATACAAAGTGTCATAAGACGAAGGCTGTTGGGACTCAAAGGTCCAATAGACTACTCAAAAAAAAAAAAAAGTATATTCAGCTGGTGATAACATGGACAGGTGTATGGAGAAAGTGGCATTTGAGGTGAAACTTGGGGAATGAACATGATTTTGATCTGCAGGGGCAGGAAATAAGGAGGCAGTCTTGGTGGGGGGATTATCATAAACAAAAGTATAGAAGTAGAAAGAAGCATGGGACGTGTTTTGGGCGCATGAAGTAATTCAGGTTCCCTACTGAGTATCTGGGGGTGAGGAGAGGAAAAGCTGTGAATGACATGTAAAGTCTTTGATGTCAGAATGAAGTGTTTGTTCTCAACACTAAAAGCAATGAGACTACTAAAGGTTTTTGGAAGAAAGGAGAAAAACCATAGAATTACAGAAATTTTGAATTTAACATTCCCCCCACCCCTATGCCCATTGTACAGATAAGGGAGTCAGAACAAGAACCTGGAGAGGTTGCCAGACTCTTAAGTCCCAGCTTCGTGCATTCTACCAGCGGCCTCACAGGGTTACTTGAGTAGCAGTGTGCAGAATGGAGGAGAGGGGACAGGCAGGGCAGGAATGTGGCAGCTGCTATAGTCGTCAAGGAGAGAAGTTAAGGTGGCACAGTGAGGACCGGAACATTAGGGGAGTGGGGCAGGATAGTGGGTCAGAAGAGGGGCTGAGCCGGAGCCCCTTCTGTCTTCTCCTTGGGGCTCAGAGCACTACTTGTTCATTCACATCAGAGAGGCGGGTTATTTGACCTCACTCATTGGAAGGTCCAGGAAGCACGGAGTCAACTGGCCCACAGTTCAGACGATGAAGACTCTCCACCCTCCCAGCCCTTGTTTGATACTCTGCAATCATTAGAAAAAGATACGCCAAAAATCATGCCAGCCATGATCAGAAGCAGCCCTGGAACTGCCCCTTTAAAGGACCAGTATGATGATTTCAGGACTCAGACAACTTGGTGTGTTTTCTTTCTGGCTTTGCTGAACAGTGTCCAAGCATTCTATGGCTCCAAACCACTTCTTAAACAAGGACAGGTGCTCGAAAAGTGTGACTTTTGTTTCCCTTTCCCAGACCTCTCTCCTATAGGTCACGCTGACATCTTACATTCCATGAAGAGGCTGGTGAGATCAAAGGGCCAGCCAGGTGTGGTAGAGGGTAAGCGCTTTGAGGATCTCTGCAGCCACAGGAGGCTGGAAAGCAATGCGCTTTAGGAAGCTCTCTCTAGAGGCAGGTAGCCTGCACCCAAATTCCATCTCTCCTAATGATGAGTGTGTGGCCTTGAGCAAGTTACCTGGCCTTTTTACACCTTGGTTTCTTCATCTGTAACATGAGGGTAGCCAACAGGGATGGCTGGGCAGTCAATAGGCTTGGTGTGAAGAACAAATGAGTTACCAAGATAGCACAAATAAAGTGTTCAGTATAACAATGACTATTAGCTGTTTTTAATAACGCAGCTCTGAAGTTTCATTCAACTGAATATCTGGTGATTGGTAACTTAGTGGTAGAGTCCAGTAAAGGGAACAAAGGTGCCATCCAGCTGTGCCAGATGCGCACAGGAACAGTATTGCAATATCTGGCTAATGTCTAAAGGAGTTTAGAAAATAACCCCTCCCCACCTGCCCTATTTGAGCAATAGTTTGGCTTAGCCCACCTCTTTCATTTCTCTAACTTGAGTGATTATCAGCCTGAGGCTGGCCTAGATGGGTATGCATATAGTTTAGTTGTTTCGTAAAGTTTCAAAAAAGACAGAGCACTCTAGCCACGTATTTCAGGGTTTGGTGGTTCTTCTAGACACCAGGCTCCTTCAAACCTCTGGTGTTGTAGGCTAGAAGGGACTTAGGAACCATCTAATATTCTCTTTCCAGAGCTAAAGACATAGAAGCCCTGGATAAGGAGTAAGTTGTCTGAGGCCACCCAGCTAGTCAGTTTAAAACCAAGACTAGTTCTCCCGTGGCCTGGTGTTCAGGGTAGTGCTCACTCTTGACCACACCTGGCTGGCTCTTTGATTTTCGGATCTCCAGCTAACTGTTGGGCCTGTCTCCAGTGGATTCCACGCTTCAGCGTGCATAGTATATGACATGCCCTTGGCTCTCCCTGCCTGCCTTTCCTGCCGTGGCGCCTCAGATATTCCCAGTCCCTCCTGTGGGCTCCTACCACCCACATCCCTGATGTCCTCTCCTGCAAACCTGCCTCTGCCTAAGGGCCTGTGAGGCCCCAAGAATCCTGCCTGGGGGACCCCAGGAAGGGACGCTTAGGAGGACTCTTCCCTTTGCTCCGGAGCCTGTTTCAGGAAAAAGTGGTGCTTGCTCATTTCCCTCTGTTCTGGCTCCTCTGCTCCGTTTTTTCCAAGTCTTCTTCACTCTCTGTGCTCCGTCTCCCCCAGCCTTGCCCTTCTGTTTCACATTCCTGTTCTCCTCTTTCTCTCTCCTTCCCGACCCGTATCCTTTCCCCTTTTCCTTCCTTCCCTGGGTCACTTGGGGCATTTGCATCTTCCTGGTGCTCCTTGGGCCCTGCCCTTTTTCCCTCTCCCCTTTCCTCTCCCACCCTGCCTGTCCCCCACTCTGCTCACCCTTTAACACATCTGTTTCTAATCTGAGCCTCGGAGGCGCCTGTTTGAAACAACAACAAAAAACCCCCACCCTCAGGAACCTGGCACAAAAATTCCTGGATAAACCTTCCCTCCACCAATTCTCCACTTTCCCCAGATACACCAGAAACTAAACACCGCCCTAAAGAGGACCCTTCACATCAAACGACTCCCCAAGTCTGTTCAAGGGCCCAGATGTGCGAGACAATCTCGATGGCCGACTGGGCGGCCCTCGGTTGCCAGATGTGCTCCTCCGTGGCCAGGAGGCAGGGACGGAAAAGCCGGCTCGCTCCAGGGGCTGCGGGGACACTCGGGTCAGAAGCAGCGTCTCTCCCGGGCGCAGGGCTGCGTTTGCCCACGGCCATCCAAACTCCCGCCCTCCCAGAGGCACTCACCTAGCAAGAGGAGGAGGAGGAGGGACATCCCGATTCCCGGACGCGGGAGCTTCCCCGCTCAGCCGCTGCCTGGCTCCGGGGCGGCCGGGCGCCTCCGACGGACCTCGGGCGAGCTGGGCGCGGCGCCTCGGGGTGCGCGCTGGGCGGCTGCAGCCATGTGCCGGGCGGAAGCCGGCCCCGCGCCCCGCGCCCCCGGGAGCAGATGGGCTCCCGGCGCTCGCCCCACCAGCTCGCGCCGGGACAGGAGCCGGGACCAGGGTCAGGGAGGGAAACGCGAGGCGGAAAGGCGCTACCGCTTCGTGGAACACTTTTCCCTGTTTGGAAAGAAAAAGGAGTGAAGAAAGAGAGAGGGGGAAAAAATTCAGCTGGAACCACATGGTTGCCTCCTACCGCAGCCCCTCCCTCGCTCTCTCGCTGTTCCCTCCTTCCCTCCCTCCCTCCCGCGCAGCGTTTGGGGTTAGCGGTGGGGGCCGGTGGGGGAGAAGCGTGAGCTGACCGGGCAGGGAGGGCCAGGGGAGACTTGGGGCCGTGCAGAGGAGGGTGGGTTAAGAGGCGCCGGGCGTAGGATTGATTCTGTGCAGGGGGCATTGGTGACACCTCGGCTGAGAGCCCGTGGACGAGGCCGTGTCCGTTCCTAGAGCTCTGCTCTCAGTTCGTCCTTCTCTCCACTTCTCTCTCGCTTCTTTTTTACTCTCGTTTCTCTCTGCTTCCCTGTCTCTTACAAATCTGACCTTTCTCTCTTCCATCTCTTCGTCTCCAGGTCTCCTTATTTGCATTCTTGCCTCTCCCTCCTCGTCTCCTCATGCCCTCTCCCCTCTGTACTCTGCCCTCTTCTCGCCTCTCCTCTCCCTCCCCGTCTGGTTCTGTTAGTGTGAAGCCACCAGACTGACCAGGCCGACGGCGGGGGGCAGAGGTAGGTAGCGAAGGCAGCCAACGCCCGGCCGGCCAGGGCTCTTCCCACCGACTGCCTAATTTGGCACCCGGCGACCCCCCTTGGCCTGGCTTTCCCGGGGCCTTTCGCGTTCGCTCGCTTTCTGCTGTCGGTATTTGCAGCAGCGCTCCTTCAGCTCCCGAAAAGAGCTAGGCTAGCCAGCACCCAGGGGAAGGGGACCCACAGCTCGGTGGAAAGAGGTCTGTTGAGATCTTTGCAGCAAAGTGCTCTACACGTGGCCCTGGCCAAAATGTGCACCACCCCCTTTCAGAAAGAACAGCAGGCAGAGGGAGCAGAATCCCCCTGGCTCCGGGAACCCGGCCCAGGAGGCTCGCGGAGGGCCGGAGGCTGGCGGCCGGACTGGGGCGGACGGTGGGTTCCGCGGAACCGAGCAGCCCAGCCCCAGGGTCGGCCCCTGGGAGTCTGCCCTTCACTACCCTGCTGCTCAGCGGCAGCGGGAGGCGGCGAGACCAGGAAAGGCTGCCTGGACCTCCTGCCCCGACCTTGTGCCCAGGGCCTCTCAGAAACTCTGGTCCCTGTCTCTGAATGTCCCTGGAGGGTTTCTCCCTCAGCCGCCCGGAGGCATGAGGACGCAATCGCTCACCTTCGGCCTCCCCTGAGCCCAAGGTGGAAGCTGGGGCCAGCGCTCTTGAGAAGAAAGATGAACCCCGCCAGGGCCAGTGGGCTGCCGAGTCACACATGTGCAATGAGATGAAAATGTGTAATGAAAACCCGTCCCATTTCGCAGACTAGGAAAGCAAAGGCCTGGAGAGGTTATGGAAGTTTCACAAGGTCACTCAGAGGATTTGCAAAAGCAGGGGCTGTTCCTAGGGCTCGCGGATCAGCTGGAGCGTTGCTTTAGAAGAATTGCAGCATTTTCCACTCCTTCACCCCTTCAATACCGATGTGTTAGGCATCCACACTGTGCCAGGTGCTTCACCTAAAAATGTTTAGGTGTGGGGAAAAAAAATAAAAGAAAAAGTGTAGGTGTGAGGGCACAAAGTGAGTAGAATTTGGAAGCTGACATTTGAAAAAATCTGGAAGGAGTATGTCATGAACACCAGCTATGGACCCAGAATCATATTATTGACTTTTTATATCATTCTTATTATACTGCTAAGGGATAGTCATTGAAAAAAAATCACCATACCTTAGCATAAATAGGAAGACAAGGAAGCTATAACTTAGGCCTAAGTATCTTGCCCCAGATCACAAAATATTAAAATGCTTCTATTCCAATATTAATATTCTAATATTTAAAAATATTATTTTTTATATTGAGAGGTGTTTAAAAGGTCTCTGACTCCGAAGTAACTTTATTTTCCATTTTATACTAATTGTCTAACAGGGGAAATAGATCCATTCACAACTGTAATTTGTAAATTAATATATTGAAAAAAGCCGCCACTCTTTTTTTTTTTTTTTTTTTTTTTTGAGGCAGAGCCTCACTCTTACCCAGGTTCGCTGCAACCTCTGCCTCCTGGGCACAAGTGATCCTCCCATCTCAGCCTTCCAAGTAGCTGAGACTACAGGCTCACACCATCATGCCCGGCTAATATTTGTATTTTTTGTGGAGACTGGGTTTCGCTGTGTTGCCCAGGCTGGTCTCAAACTCCTGGGCTCAAGCAATTCACCTGACTCGGCCTCCCAAAGTGCTGGGATTACAGGCATGAGCCATCCTCAGCCAAAACCAGTAATTCTTAAAGGCTGGAGAAAGTGGCAGAAAAACTACATACAGAAGGTAACTTTTTTGTTGTTTCTGCTTTATAATTAAATTTTTTTTGACATTTCGGGCTTACAAAAAAGTTGAAAAATAGTACAAAAATTCTTCACCCAGATTCCCCCTTTTTATTTCCCTCTAGAGGTGGGGTTTTTGCACAAGTTTTAAAGCCCCACCTCCACCCGACCACTGCTCATGGCCTTTCTGGAGAACTTGGTACTGTCCGTGCTGTTTATTGATTGAGGGCTGGTGTGCGCATGAAGACAGATGTGTGTGGGTGTAGGCAGATAAGTGTTTAAACCCAGTTGCTCAAGCCGAAGGTAGCAGGAGCCTTCGGCTCTAGGTCATTAGTCACCAGCACAGGAAATGATTAGACTGAGATTGGGTCACAAACACTCAAATTTTCCCAATCCCAAGTCTTGTAGCCTGTATTACACATATTTTTTGGAGGAGGATCTTTGGGTCCCTGAAGATGTCTGTCTCTAAATCTGAAACCTCTTTTCTATTGTCATGGGTCTGTGGGCAGGAAGAGCAGAGAGAGAGTGCTTCTGGGGTGGTTTGTAACTCACATCCCATCCCTACCAGTGCTGGGACTCACTCTGGGCTGGGTGTCTCGGAGGATCCAAAGAGTATGAGATAGTCCTTACCCTGAATGGACCTCTCAGTTCAGAGGGAGAAAAAACACCAACATGGGAAATGTTTCAACAACAATACAAGAACGTTAGTTAAATGCCAGGGTACGTTATCCTGACGATAAAAAACAGTGGGAACTCCAAGAAAGGAAGGAGCACCTTAGGCTGGGGTGATTGCGGAGGAGGGCAATGATGGGACCAGCCCTTGGGGGATGAACAGCATTTCATTAGAAGAGAGGCGCTGGGGAGAGCCAGGAGCGGGGGAGTTCCTGGACAAAGACATGGAGTTAGGAATAGCATATTGAGGGGCCTTGAATGAAATGAAATGCTTGAAATAAAAATGGTTGTTGAAGCAAAATGCCCTGGGGGGCAAAATTGTGACAAGTTCTGAATGTGAGGCAAAGGATTCTAGAACTCGTTATGCAGTGTCTCCTCCAGGCTCTTTGAAACAAATTTAAGAAAAATCACCTTGATGAGAACCGTATTTCAGGAAGTGGAAATTGGCTGCTTCTGCCCAGAGGTGACTCCAAGGATTGGCCAGGGTGGAGAACTTTCGCGACCGTTTGGTATCTATCAAGCTGCCTTTGTCGTGGAGTGATATACATATGCAGCTTCAAGACACTCCCTTGTCCTTCCCAATTTCTGGGGCGCCGAAGAGTACCACCTTAAACCTCTCCTTTACAGGAATTCTAGAGCCATCAACAGGAGTGTATGATGCTTTGGAAAAGAAACCTGAAGGACAGGAACGGTTTAGGACCTATTGCGTTAAATAGGCAGGTAAGACGAGGGTAGTGAAACAATGTAGAAGACATTGGCAAGAAAGATTAGATAGGGTTAAGTACACAGCAATCATTGTGGGTGAAAGAAGTGGAAGAGAAAAGAGGCACCAAATCTGAGTATAAATGACATACATTGTTACACACGCCAAGATTGATACCCACCATTTTTCTACTCCCTGGTATATTCCAGAGATTATAAGCATGATTAATAAGAATCACAATATTGTATTACAATGAAGAAACTAAGGTTTAACAAGATTAAATAAATTGCATATCATCCCATGGTTAGTAAATGATTGAAGCAGGGTATAAAGTCAGGAGATTCAAACTTTTACACCTCACTGTCTTTTGATAGTACTGCTGACAAACTAGGGAAGTTGGGTAAGTTAGCTTGTCAGGAATAGAACGATAAATTACCCAGTTACTTGGAGACATGGTAACTGAAGAGCTGATAAATGATCATCCCTCTATCCATCCCTCCATCCATCTTTCTATTCTTTCTTTCAATCAATAATTCAGCAAATCGTTGTTAAACACCTACAATACACCAAACACTGGAAAATCAATGGTGAATACAGGAAAAGTTGTTCTTGTCCTGCAGAAGCTTCTGGTGAGTTAAGGGAAATGAACAACCAATAAGCAATTACAACGTGGAGTGAGAAATGCTGTGCTCGGGAAAGGGCAGAGTGCTATGGAGATCACAGCAGGACCCTACACCTAGTGTAGGAGATGCCAAAAAGACATCTCGGGAGAAAAGTGCTGTGAACTGAGGGGAAGATGGAGACCTGTGCTCTTCTCTCATCTCATACCTGGCAACCAGGGACCATGTCTTTTTTTTTTTTTTTGAGACAGAGTTTTGCTTTGTTGCCCAGGCTGGAGTGCAGTGGCACAATCTCGGCTCACTGCAACCTCTGCTTGATGGGTTCAAGCAATTCTTGTGCCTCAGCCTCCTGAGTAGCTGGGATTACAGGTGCCTGCCACCATGCCCGGCTGATTTTTTGTATTTTAGTAGAGACGGGGTTTCACCATGTTGCCCAGGCTGGGCTTGAACACCTGAGCTCAGGCAATCCGCCTGTCTCGGTCTCCCAAAGTGCTAGGATTACAGGCATGAGCCACTGCCCCTGGCCATGGTCCATGTCTTTTATTTTATTTTATTTTATTTTTTTGAGACGGAGTCTCGCTCTGCCGCCCAGGCTGGAGTGCAGTGGCCGGATCTCAGCTCACTGCAAGCTCCGCCTCCCGGGTTCACGCCATTCTCCTGCCTCAGCCTCCCGAGTAGCTGGGACTACAGGCGCCCGCCATCTCGCCCGGCTAGTT